GGGGGGGGGGGGGTAATTGGTAAGAGAATAAAAAAAACGTGAAAAGTGAGATGAAATAGAGATTTATTTTGAATTTTAACTAGATGCACGCTTGAGAGCAAAATATTATGTGTATAATTTATTAGTTATATTATATGCATAATTTTGAGTATTTGTAATAAATTAAAAGTCCTGTCAAAAAATAATCAATTAAAAGTAAGAATAAAACAACTACTATATAAGCACATAGATTATAGATGAATTGGTATGAGAGATTGTTTTAATTTGACTAATAACTTTGAATATCTAGTTATAATAGAAGAAAAAATTTCTGTTCTTAATCATTTTATCCTAATGAAGTAAATTTGTCCTCACAGAAGATACTTGTAGTTTTTATAATAAGAACAAGAGAGGTCCACAAATTAAAGAATAAAGAGCAATGGTCTTGGCATTAGGAAAATGATATTTACACACAGATTTATAATTTGTTTCTATAATTCTTTATCTTCAGACAACAAGTATATAGATCGGAAAGCATATTAAAACAATCAATTACTACTATAATTTTTATATTCATGTCACATTCAATTCTGCATATCACATTTATTATTTTCTTTCCATTTACTTTCCACCACTTTCTCTCTCTCTCGAATATATAAACTCTTTAAGGGTGTCAAACAATTTTCTTCCTAAACATATTTAATAAAAAATGGTATATGAATATTAATATACTATCATTATTTTTATCATTATTCACTAGTCTTAAAAAAAAGTGAGTCAAGATTAAAAACTATTTCTTAAAATAAAACAATGTAGTACTCATTGTTAAATTTATTATATTATTTACAACTTTTGAAGTTAAAATGTTTGGTATTCAATATAAAAAAATGTTAAACATCTTACATCAAATAATAATAAAATTAAAATAATGTACATAATACTAATTTAACTTTATGACATCTAATTCAATAATAATTAATAATTGTTAAAAAAATTCAATCTTACAAAATTAATATATAAGATAAAAATCATTTCTGACTCATATAAATAAATATTTTAATACTAGCCAGTCATGATTAACCAGGTCGAACAGTATTAATTATAGGGGGAACAAATAACTTTCTTAAATGCATTGCTTGAGAATTTTTGTAGATAAATCATTTAAAATTCTTTAAAAGCCTTTGCTGCAACATCCTGACATACAAATAGGACGACTGACATTTAAATAGATCCAAATTCTTTAAAGATTTTTTAGAGAAAAGAGAGAGAAATGAGGTGAGGGACCAAAGTAGGAGCCACGTAAACAAAGCTTCTGTGCTGTTTCTTCGAACAATGAACAACTCAGAGTGCAATGAATATGGCAATCAAATTGGCATTATCAATATGCAATGCAACGTCCATTTCCATCATTCATGTAGGGGACAAATAACCATTAAAATCTAAGGCATTAATAAGCCAAAAGCAAGTATAACACCAACACATGAATCAACAACAAGTAAGAGATTATCTCACTTTAATTAATGAATTTAATCATAAAATTGTATTAAATATTTTATTATTTAAAATGATACTCAACCTGAATAAAATTATCTCTCATAAAAAATATATATAATTTATAAAATAAAAAGAAAAGGTTACACCGCTTGCGCACAACATACCAAAACTAAAACCACAAGCCAGCTGTATGTACGCTTGCAATTTTGATGCGAAGCGATTTAAATGGATCACAGTAATTATAAGTAATGAATTCTCAGTGTAACACTTTCACCTACCCTTAACATTTTGTTACTATAAATAACCTCACTCACTCTCCCACAACACAACGCATAGTACCCCCTTCATCACACTGTGAAACCATGATGAAGAAGGTAACATTTGCAGCGTTGCTACTTGTGTGCCTTGTTCTCAGCTCCTCCTTGTTCCAACTCTCAATGGCTCGTTCTGGTATGCCTTAAGCCAATTAGTAATTTGCACTTAATACCCTTTGGTTTATAAGTCTTCATTCAATTAATGATAATTGGTATATATAAATTTTGATGAGTTTAATTACTTAAGAACATCTCTGGTATACTAGTTTCGTTCTGGGGTTGTTATCTTTGAGACCCGATTCTTACTCGTATTCATCATTGGAGGAAACCGACATGACTTTCAGGCTTCAGCTATAGGAGAACTTGTTTTTCTCACAAAGTAATCGGTTTTTATGGATAAAAATAATTTATTTTCTGAGTTAATTTGTGGGATCATTTTATATTATAAATGGTTGCATTATTGGAGTAGCAAATTGTCTTTTTTTACACCAAAGTAGCGAATTGTTAAAATTCCTAAGTCTGATGTGAGATGACAGATTCTACTTTTTTATATGTATAAATACAGATTCTACTTATTCCATCTTAAAATTACCGTAGTTTTAATAATTGAAAAAAAAAACTGGTAATATAAGTTTTTTAATTTATATGTCTCACATAAATTACTTAAATCTTAATGAATTTGCGACAAAGAAAAATAATGCATTAATTATGATGGTAGCTTATTTTAATAAAATAGTATAAAAATATATATTTATTATATATGATTTGTAATCTCATTATAATTAAATCTGAGATTACAAATCTTTAAAGGAATTGGTGGTTAGTCTGGTCTTTAAATGTGGTAATATCTTGCCTTAACATAAAGTTATTTTGAGATGAAGGGATTACTTAAAAATAAGTTAATAACATTTACCTTAAATGCACCACTGCATGCATCAAGTGTGACAATTTTCATATTACTTATCAATCTAGTTCGGTAGGACAAGATTAGTTGGATATGTGAAGTAAAAACTGTATATATAAAATAAAATAAGAAAATGTATTGTGATATGTTAGTTTATGTTTGATACTGACTCAACATGAATATGTACTATGTGGTTGGAATCAGGTTTCTGTGACTCCAAGTGCGCAAAGAGGTGCGCAAAAGCTGGGATGAAGGACAGGTGCATGAGGTTCTGCGGGATCTGCTGCATCAAGTGCAAGTGTGTGCCATCTGGGACTTATGGGAACAAGCACGAGTGCCCTTGTTACAGGGACATCAAGAATTCCAAGGGCAAGCCAAAATGCCCTTAAACTTTTCTTTTACCGTCACTGCTTCTGTGCATGGACAATGGACCCTTGCTAGATCCTCAACTTTTCTTCCTTTCTTCTTGTTGTTGTTATGTTTATGTGTTATAAACAGAGAGAAAAATTAAAAATTAATTTGGTCACATTAGTTCTATGGATATGTAATAAAAGTGAATTCTCCTCGACGTTTTTTATTTAAATAAAAATTATTTTGAACCTGACGTGAATCGAACACGCAACCTTCTGATCTGGAGTCAGACGCGCTACCATTGCGCCACAGATCCACTTATACTTTAAAGTTTATTTGTTTCTAAATTGTTGAAAGAAATTCCGAATACGTACAAAAAACACGCTTTTGTGAATTCTCACAAAATTCATGATAAATTGAATTTTACACTTTTAAAATTTTTAATTAAAAATTATTTAAGAAAAAGTTATTGGTTTGCGTATCAATTTGGGCTGTTCGGACACTATTCCCTTCGTACTAAATTGCACTGCTGATTTTGAAAATTCACCTTTTAATTTACGAGGAATAAGTTTTTGTTCTTCCAGCTTAATTAAAAAATATTACACCTTTTTCTTCTATTCTACTTAGTTGGTATACATAGATTAAAAAATATAATAATTATTTTTCTTTTCTTTAGGGTTGTTTTTGAAATTTTCTTATATCTTTCATTTATTTTTATTTAATAATCGAATAGTATTACACTATATATTATTTGAATATTAATGAGAATATAATTAAAAATTATAATTTAGGTAACATAAATTTAAATTTTAAATAAACATAGATAAAGAAATCTTATTAAGTGAATAATTTAAAAATTTGAGATCATATTTAGGTTTAATTACATCTTCGTCTCTTTTTTCTTTTTTTTTTAATTCACAATTTTGATCTTATTTTAAAATTGAAATATTTAATTTATTTAATTTTGAAAATACAAAATTTTGATATTCAAGTCTCATATTAACTCAAATCTATTATGACTTATGAATAAATATGTACTTCAATGCAATGTTTTAAAAATTGAACTAATCATCAAATATATTAAGATATTGGATTAAAGATTAAATCAGTGAATCACTAATTAAATCATATGACTCACTCTTTATTAAGTATTTTTAGAAGAAAAAAAATATTCATATCATATATTTTATACCTATTAATTTCAATAAAATTTATATTGTGCCTTAAAAATGTCTCTAAAAAAACTATAGACAATATAAAAAGCATAATTTATTATTATATATATATTATATTTGTTACATATAATAATAAAATATCATTTTCCTTGGTTGTAAGACATTCATATAAATGATTCGAGTTCAAATCTCACATTTATCACTTGTAAGCAGTGTTTTAAAAACTGGATCGAATCGACCAATTGGACTGGTTGGACCGGGAACCGGTGGTCTAGCCGGTTCGAATCTTAAGTTAGATCGGTTATGCGATCAATCCATTTCAAACCGGATTGAACCGGTCAATTTTCCGGTTCAACCGGTAAATCGGTGGGTCAAACCGGTTCAACCAAACTTTTTTTTTAAAAAAAATTATTTTTTTAAGGGACCATAAACCACAAAAATAATAATGAAAATTGAATATCTTAATGGAAGAGCAAAGAGTCTTATTAAATATAACAATGACTACTTATTCTAATGTATTTGTTTGTAATATATACAACTTAAATAACTTTTATAGTATATTATTAATTTTAAATTATATATTTAATAATATAATATCTATGTAGATATTACATATATTATTTTGTTATATCAATTGCAAGCATATTATATATGTACATATTATTTATATTTTTAATTTGTATTAATATACAATTTAACATGTAATTTTTTAATGTATTTTTTTACAAAATAAAAATAAAAATAATTTTAAATAAAATAGAAAAATTGAAATTTAAAATAAGATATGAATTTATTAAAATTTATAAGTATAAAATATATTTAACATGAATATTTTAAAAATAATAATAATAAAAATCGAGTCATGCAATTTAACTAATAACTCACCTGTTCAACCTTTAACTCATTAACACAGTACTTTAACCGGTTTGATGACCAGTCCGATTTTTAAAACTATCCTGGTAAGGATATAGATTTTTGAGTGTATCACCTCACCACACCACCCGAAAATTAATTGGACTAGAAAATTGATGGGGGCCAAATTGGGTCTTACGAGGTTGATGACATATATTCGATCTAATGTGAGACTCGAGCCAACTGCATCACTGGTTCAATCGGCCAGTCAGAGCTAGTCTTTCAAATTACATTTTAGGGAATACAAACCTACATCATAGAGAAGGTGAAAGTTATTTTTTACCACTTGTATTAATTTACGTTGACTTAATTTTTATTTAATACATTATTTATAAAATTTGAATGATTTGTAGGAATATATATATATATATATATATATATATATATATATGTATATTATTTTATATTTAAAAATATTTTGATTAAATTTTATCATTAGTGTTATGTATGCTTTTTACATTGTTTGTTACATAATCAATATAGAAAATGATGTAGTGATAATTTTACAATTTAAAATAACTTTTTTATAGCGGTTTAAAATAACATATAAAAAAAATTAAAAATAAAAAATAAAAAAAAGTTTTTACATCCTTTGAATTAGTTACCAACATAACATGTGTTTAAAATTAAGATGAGTTTCAACCTCCTTCAAAATGTGAGTTTCTTGTAACAAAGTAATAATTTATTTGGAAGTCTAAAAATAAGTAAGAAATGAGAGGAAGATAATAGAAATAAGAGAGTGAAAATAAATGTGTTTAGTATGTAAAAAAATGAGGGAGGTGAGAAATACAAAGGTGTAAATCTCACACCTTTTTAATTTCATGCTTAATTGAGAAGAATGAGCTAAAAAAATTGTTCTACTAAAAGTTCATTCGAATAAGTCAAGTATTTATTATGAATGGCAACAAGGCAAGTTAAGGGTGGGTTTTGCTCTCTCCATCTCCATCGTCGTAAAAGATAATTTGAGTTCAGATTTTAAAGAGATGAATTTATATTTTTTAGGGAGAAATTGCTTTCGTCGGGGAGGGGAGGAAGAGTGTTGTTGCTGTGTTGTCAAGAGAGTGAGGAGAAGCAGGCAACAACGATAGGGTTGCTGCTTGCGTTTGTTTTGCAGCAGAGTAAAAGAAATAAAAAGTTATTTTTATTACTAATATTATATTATTCCTTACAATTGGTCATATGTAAATAATATTTTTAATTACAAAAGTATTTAGTATATTTTAATATAATAGACTTTTTTTAATAAAATCTTTCTTTTTTAAATTATTTAAAATCAACTTTAAATAGTGTTACTAAAGTCAATTTGAACACTTATATTATAGTTAGATAGTCAGTTTAAGCAACTTAGGCTAGTTTTTTTTTAAAAAAAATGGTGACCTGTTAAATTAAAAAAAAAATTACAATTAATTTTTAATTTTTAGTTTCATATTTTGACTTTTAGAAGTTTTATATCATGTTATTCATAAAAAAAAAATATTCTCTTTCATGTTAAAATTAATTTAGGAGTATATTTGTACATTGATAATAATGGTGTTAAGATGACTATGATATCATTTGTAGTGTTGATATAGTATAACATTATCAATAGTGTTAACAGTAGTGATGTTGATGATAATGTTAATAATTACATTGTTAATAATCACGATATTATTAATGCGTTAATTCAAAAGATGAAATATATCTCTCAAATGTCTTATACAAGTTTCTGCACAAAAGAGAAACATAATCGTATACAATAAAAAGAGAAAAATAAGCATAATTCTTACATAATTCTACTTTCTTACACAAAAAATAAGCAATCTTTATGTAAGTGTGCAAAATTAAAAGATAAGTCATTTGTTTTATCTTATTAGGATAATTGTATTCAATAGAAACATAATTCTACTTTCTTACACAAAAATAAGCATGCTTTATGCAAGTGTTCAAAATTGAAAGATAAGTCATTTGTTTTATCTTATTAGGATACCTAGTCGATGAAAGGTAATATACATGACATTTAATTTTCTCAAGAGCTATTTCATAACATAAGAAAGATAGACAAAGAAGACAAGTTTCAAAACTCTTATAAAACATATGTAAAGATCTCTCATAAATAAATTAGAAGATTTAAACAAGGAGATTCTGACTAAAGATTATACATAAACTAATTTTAACTTATGAGAATTTTTTTTTTCTCCTAAAAATATTTCTAGAAAAATTTATCCAAACAAACTTGTATGTCAATTTTTTGCTCTGATCTTGTAAAAAACACCGTAAATGAATTTGAATTTCTAAAATTGATCATTGTATATATGTGTCCGGTAAAACAATATATCTAAGTGATTTTGGTAGAAACTTGAAGAAGTTTTAACAAATGCTTTATAGTGTGTTTGGATGAGGAATTTTACAAATTTAAGGAATTTTAAATTCTTGGTATTTGAAATTTCAATTTCTATCATTCTTAAAATATTTTGTTTGGATAAGTCAATTCAAATTTCTTAAATTTTAAATTGTTAGGTTAAATATGATAATTTGATTCATAGTAAAATTGATTTTAAAAATATATTTATATGTTGAAATTTTTAAATTAAATTTTATAAAAATAAATATTAATCCATTTTTAAATATTTAATAATTTTAAAAATTAATATTAGATAATATTTAATAATTTTTAAAATATTTTTGAATATTCAATAATTGAAAGAATGAACAAATAAAATAAAAATATATAGGTGAAATAAGAAAAACAAATATGGGAAATTTCAAATTCTTACTTTTTTGAGAAAATTTGAAATTTTACTATTTTAAGAAATTTCACAAATGCTTGAATTTCAAATTCTTTGTAAATTCTCCATCCAAACAAAGCATTTCACCTCAGGAATTTAAAATTCTTCAAATAAATAAATTATCCTATATAAATTCTCCATCCAAACACATCATTAAGGTGTTTTTGTGAAGAGACAAATGAAATACTACCTAGATTAAACTTTTGTAACTTGTGGCTGGTTATTATAGTGAAACTTGATAATGTACCATGAATCAAAGACTAATTATAGAATACTAGTTACAAAATAGGCACTTGAGCCTTGTATTAGTTAGTTTTCTTTTTAAGTTAATTATGAATATAGTTTAGAAATGTAAATAGCTATCAGAGAGTGGTTTTTACAATCAGTTTAAAATTAAAATTTTCTATAAAAATTCGTGCACCAATTCACCAAATATATAGAAAATTAAATAAAAAACAAAAATAAAATGATATTTCTCTTAAGCCAACCGAAAGCAACCATGTATTAAATTCATAAACCACGACTTGCTAAGTTATAAACCGCTATGCCATAAAGTTTTGTTACATTTGTGTATTGTAAGATAAATCATATATAGTAATTTATATCATTTTATAGGATTCAACTAGCAAAATTCACTTATACAGCCTATGACTCGCTGATTCATTATTTTGACTAAATCGATGGCTAACCAGTCTAAGTTTTATGACAAATGACTTCATTAAAAGACTAATATTAAAGAATATAACTAAAAGAAAACATTGCAAAAATAAAATCATATTTCTCTTGAGCTAACCGAAAGCAAACATATATCAAACTTTGTGGCATATTAGACATATTTAAAAATTTATTGGCAAAATACAAATAAAACTAATTAACAAAATCATATGAAGTAAACCATGTCTCTATCAAAAAAAAAAAAAAAAAAAAAAAAAAAAAAAAAAAAAAAAAACTGTGATGAAAGAAAACAAGGAACCAACTAAACCATGTCTTCAACTCCTCATGATTCGTTTATTGGACACAAAATAAGGAATAATAAATAGCGGGACCACAACATTACACTTTCAAAAATCACAAAAAAAATATGCCTACTGGCGAGGATCATTTATGTAGTTAGCTCCCCTATACAGCTCGCTCATTGTCCTCTATGGTCCAATCTCTACTGCACCTCCAATACCAGATCCTTGCATCCCGTGCAAGTGACAAAAATTGAAAGAAAAATGCTATATTAACCAACTAATGAACACAACATGGAACATGGGATGATTATGAAGGAGAAAAGGAAAAAAAACAATGCAACTTCTTAGTCCAGAGATATGTGTGATATGGGCAAAATGTATAAATTACACACAACATTTTTACATTTGCCGTAGTTTCCACTTGTCAAACCAACCAAGTAACTTTTTGCCATAGAGGTTGTTTCGCATCATTGGATAATGACGTTCAACCAGCTCCCGTAGAGTATTCCGAATGGGACCCTGTTTTAGCAAAAATAAATATATGCATTATTATAATATAAAATAGAGTTAAAGCATGTCAAATACCGAGACTTCAAGCTCGCTTATATATCAAATAATATTAAGGCAACTAATAACTATTTATGATTTATGACTTGTTAGAAATACTAACAACACACATTTTAACAATACACTTTTTTATTAACTAAAATTCATTGAAATTATAAATAATAGTAGTGAGTTCGTTAAAAAGTGTACCGCTAGCACACGTCAATGTTTATTAGGACTGTCCTATGCTTAAAATTGTCTACAGACGAATTTTATGTCATTTACAGCCTAATGGAAGCACATCCAGCGTTTTTATGTCAAAGCAATTTTAAGTGCTTTAAGATACATCCTAACCAGCAGTAACAATTTAAGTATCTTAAAAAAAAAAAGCAAAATATGGAAAAACTACTAGCACCTTCTAGTAAATTGATTTTGCCAACAAAAATGAATGAATTACTCCCCCCCTCCCCACAAAGAAGAGAGATGAAAGGCACGCGCAATCCAACTTTGTAACTTACTAATTAACCGAATTGACTAGGCAACTTAAAAAGCTAGGGTAATGCATAATCATTAAAATTGAAAAAAACAAATGTTCTTACCTTGGACACACAAAGTGCTGATTTGATGACATAATTGCCATATGGATCCACTAGAAGCATTGAAACATTTGGATTGCATAGCAACTCCGAAATAATTTGTGTAGAATACAGTTCTCCCGAGTCATGAAAGAACTTCTCCACAACATTACTACCATACTTGTTGCAGGAAAGAGAGAAAAATTTATTTTTAAGCTGTCTAAGTATACTTTCTGTTGTTCTTTGTATTTTCAGAGACACTAGATGTTGCACCACATAGTTGCTGCAAGATAAGGAGACAAATTATGGTAGAGAATAAGCATAGTCAGTCAAATATAGTATAGTAAAAGTGACAATGAGTGTACAAACAAACCCGTAACAGTCGTCTGCTAAGAGTGAAGCATTTATTATGATCTCATTCATCAGCCGCTCTTTGGTTTCACCCTGAGCATGGTCAACACAATACTGCATTACACAGCACCCACTCCTGTCCGTTGCTATGTCAAAACAGTTGTTTGCCACGATATCTAGAATATACTGTAACAAAAGTTCACAATCAAATTATTAAAGCCAGAAAAACAAAAATAATGTAAAAGTGGACAGTTGATAAACCAGACCATATCCAGTAACTCAGTAAGACATGTCAACTATTTTTCTTTCTAATTTCCCCAAACAAAAAGAATGATGAATATTTCTTAACTGGTTTATTGTTTCCACAGCTTCAATAAATCTAACCCAAACAACAAACAAGTGATTGACAATTTATCTACTTTGGTGCTATACTAAAAGAATAACAAGTGTACTCTTGAACAAAATTTTGGTCACTTAAAAGAGTGGGAAGTGGAAGAAAGCAAACACTAAAATAAAAAAAAAACGAATGAAGTAAAAGTTATGCACAGGTAAAGTATATTAAGATGTCATAAACTACAATATTGATTACTCTGCCCAAGTGGGCAAGGTAGCCTACATATACATACTTGCAACATTGTATTCAAATGTGTCCAAGATTATTGTAGTTTCTCAACTTATGTAGTCCAATAATATATACCTATAATATGCAGCAGTCCGTTAAATAAACTCCCTAGTTACAAAGTTATATATATATATAATAAAATTGACTGAATTATTATAAAATAAATTCCACAATAAACAAGTTATTGTTAGTTCGTAAAGATCAGCCACATGCAATTAAAATATTAGAGTTGAAGAATTATACATAGTTGACTAAAAAAAGTAAGGTCATGAACTACACACCTTGTTGTCTTCATTTGAAAAAAGTTTTAGACAATGCTCAATCACATGAAGACCATTGGAATCCTTAGTCAATGCAACAATGCCGGGGCACAGCGCTAGCATAATAAGGTTTCGCTGTTCCTGGGTAGTGACATATTCCAACAATTTCTGAACAGCCCGGGTCCTATCACAAGAAAACAAAACCATCCAATCCATAACTTCACAAATTAGAAGCAAAACAAATAAAGAAAAAAAAAAGATAAAATTTCCATACATTATCATTTATTAGTGCAATTCTTGAATCAAAATTGGAATTCCACTTTTGTAATATGTGTAACAAAGAATATTATCGAGATAAAGCTTCAATTCTAAAGAAACAGCACCAACAGTAATTATAGTATTGTATCTAAATTTTATCCAAAAGAAAGACCATTAAAAGTAACCAATATGAAGCAAGAAAATACCCATGAGAATCAAGACTTATATTAACAAGCTGAAAATTAGGCTTTGTGACCATCAAAATGATGCTGGTCCTCTGTTCCTCGCAGCAGATTTCCACTAGCTTCTGAAAAACATAGTTCCCCGACGGGTCCAGCATCAACTCAACCACATTACCTATCAACTCCAAAAACACGAAAGAAACCTCTTCTGGCGAAGCCAAACTCCTCATCCTCTCTTGCAAAAACCGACACCCTACTTGATCCTTCGCCAACGCAAGAATCTTCCCCTTCAGATCATACACACTACACTGAGTCAAAGGCTGCGGCAACAAACGGTAACCGCTACCGCTACCGCCATCGCCATTCACCACTCCGCCATGCGATTTGCGTGGAAAGCCGAAACGCAGCTCGTCGTTCGAAAACGGCAACCCGAGAAGAAAGCTCCGAGGTTCCGTTTGGCTCAAGAAAGCGTCGCGAGAGGCACTCGGCGAAACGGCGTCGTTTCGGTCGTACCTAACGAGTCCCTGCATTCGCCCAATGCCGTTGGAAGCGTAATCAGAGGCGCCTCGTCCGAAGCTCTGGAAACGGAAGCGTTTGGCGGCGGCGAGAGACGATCCTTGGGCGGGGCCGACGGAGAGGCGAGAGAAAGCGTCTTCTAGGGTTTGGTAATTGGCGCGAATTGGGTTTGGGTTTTGGTGGTGGAAGAGCATGTCTCTGTAATCGGAGAAAGGTGAGCGTTGAAAGGACCAGGGTGAGGAGGTGCTGGACTCGCCGTCGTCGACGAAACAAGGGTAGCCCTGTCCTCGACCGTAAGACGACATGTCGTCTAAGGGCAGGCGACTTACGGCGGTGGTAGTCAAAGGAATTGGAATGTGAGGGTTTGGAGTTTGGAGTGTACGAGTAGTGCGTGGTGAGGAGAAGGGGTTTTAAAGAGATTTTAATGATGTTCTGTTTTTTTTAGGGGTTGACTTTTATTATCCATAATTAATAATAGTATTGAGGGAATAAAATATTGATATTAATTGGGGTGACAAATTGGGAGAAGATAAAGAGGTTGAGAGCATGGAGCGTGTTCCCATGACTACGATTCTGCATGCAATATATGGCAAGTTTACATGCGGGATGCAGAAAGAAAGAGCGACGAAAAGTGGTGTTGTTTAGCATTTACATGGTCTCTGCCTCGTGTCACCTCAAAAGTGGACTCACCTTTGACCACTTTAGTTTTAAAAGCCAAAAGCCTATGACCCATCATGCACGCCCTTGTGGACTTCCATATATCTCATTCCTCAATCGCCTCGTCCAATCATTTTTTTTAAATAAAAAACTATGAGTATAATTTATAATTTATAATAGGCTTAATTGTAGTTTTATCTTTTGTGTAATTTTGATCCCTAAGATTTTAATTAGATAATTTTAGTCTCTAAAGAATTGTAATTGTGTAATTTTAATCTTTTAATTTTTAGTTGAATAATTTTAGTCACTCAAATATCATAATTATGTGATTTTAATCTCTCTTATTAAAAATTTAATAATTTTAATATATATATATATACAATATTTTAAAATTATACAATTATTTATCTATTCAAGTTAACATATATTATAATTTTCATTAATGTATCAAATAATATATATTTATTATTACTAAATAAATAAAATTTATATATTATTATTTTTATAATATTACTAATAAATTAATATCAATAATATTATTAATATATTTATAGATAAACTAATAATATATACTTTTACAAAAATATAAATATACATATCTTATCTACTATATTTATATTTTTGTAAAAGTATATTAATATATACTAAGTTATATTTATCAAATTATCAATTTATCTATAAATATACTAAAAATATTATTGATATTAATTTATTAGCAATATTAAAATATTAATAATATATAAATTTTATTTATTTAGTAATAATAAATATATATTATTTGTTACATTAACAAAAATTACAATATGCATTAAGTTAAATAAAAAAATAATTGTATAATTTTAAAATATTATATATATATATATTAAAATTTTAAAATTATTAAATTTTTAATAGGAGAAATTAAAATCGCACAATTATGATATTTGAGGGACTAAAATTGTTTAATTAAAAATTGAATGACTAAAATTGCACAACTTCAATCTTTTAGGGACTAAAATTATCCAATTAAAATCTTAAGGATCAAAATTGCACAATTACAATACTTGAGGGATCAAAACCTCAATTAAGCCTTTATATTATACACATCATAGAACTGCTCCAACAAACTTTTTAAAAATTAATAATAACATTTTTTATTAAAATAAAAAATATTTTTTAAAATAATTATATTTCTTTTTTTAAGATGGGCATTTTTAAGTAAATTTTAAAAATATAAAAAAGATAATTTTTAAGTTACAAAATTTTTAAAAATAATATATAAATATTAATATATAAAAAAATTGGGATGAGACTTAAAGGGAGAATTTTGTTTGTCTAACTCTCAAACTGGCCCATTATATATGTGTTGTAAATTTAAATTTTATTTCTTTACTTATAATATAAAAATTTCAAGAAATGAATTTAAATGATATACATTTATATTTGTATATATGCATTACATTTTAGAGTAAATTTTACGTTGGCTTATTTTAAAAGATGCTTCGAATTTTCTTGAGGAATGAGTGTAAGTTACATTCAAATTCATTTTAACGTAAATAAATTACTTTGGAGTTTCTTCTCACAGTGTGTTGCTCAATATTTAAACATTTAATATTTTATTTATGACTAATAGAACTTAATATTTCTATCATAAACTAAAATAAAATATAATAAAGTGAATAGTTATATAAATAGAATAATAGTTATTAAAAAATTTAAAAATAAAATAAAATAGAGTTGGTGATTATTAAAAGAGAATAGTATTTATAAAAAAAATACTTGATTTTCTATTTTTTTTAATTATTAAAGGATATAATGGTTCAATAAATGTGAAGATTAGAGGTGATTACTAAAAAGTATCCCTTTTACAAAAAGTACACATAAAAAAAATAAGGTTTTTTTTCCAATCTAAAGCTATATATTTTGGCATCTACCATTGAGATCATTAATAAAATTAGTCACTATATTTTGTCCTTGATTCTAGGTATTTCATTGAATATGTTAATTGAATGCAAAGTTAATATTATCACTATATATTTTTTAGTTGTTATCAATTATATTGATTTAGATTATTGCAAGTGATGAAAGGGAATGTTTGAGTTCACTCAATTGACAAATTAAAAACATAGACAATCAAATATTTAAAGTCCTTCTAAGTGAATATTCAATACTTTGAGAACATCTTATCTTCCTAGTCATAAATTAAAACTAAAAGTATGTCTCGATAATGTTGTTAAGAAATTTAGATCAATTTAAAGGATTGTGAGAATAATACAAGGTTGGTAGTCACAAAACTAAGAGACAATGTTTAGTTGGACTGCCTCCAATTTAGTTATAAAATAAAGGTTAAAATACTAATTTGGTCTCTTATAATATTTGTTTGTTTCAAGTTAGTTCTACTTTAATTTTTTGTTTCAATTTGGTCCGTAATAATTTAAATTAGTGCAATATCGGACTTCCGTCCAAAATATTTAAACGGAGTTAACTGTTGGTCACGTGAATTTCAAGTAGATGCATAGGTGGATGCCAAATTTTTTGAATACACCTGGAACCAGAACAACCCGTTTTGAAACCAGAACGACCCGTTCTGATTGCACTCTTGGTGTGTTAATTTTGCACCTAGAATGGGTCGTTCTAGATGCAGAATTAACACACCAATAGTGTAACCAGAACGGGCCGTTCTGGTTCCAGAATTCCAAACACAAACGATCGATGATTATAGTTCACGGTTGTGAATCGTGCAAGAAAAAAGACCCAACGTACAAAGTATTTCAAACACTGGATTCGATAATATTGTCAATGGGGATTGATAACTTCAATTGCTAAACATTTGGGCTATATAGTGTATCATTAAGGACAATGTAGTGTATCACTAAGGACAATGGTAGCAGGTTTTATTTCATTGTTAGTCAAACTGGAATGAACCACTTACTACCAAATTGACACTATACAGTCAAGGATGAAACGACATGGTGTTTTCCCTTGAAGTCATTGACGATGTACCTCAACAACAACAACCTAAAGTAAAGAAAGAGGATACACAGGACCAACATTTTACCACACAACCACATGTACAGGTAGATAATGCTGATATCCTATCAGTCATTCAGTGTTATATGGTGGATAAGATGTATTATTGGCACCTTCAGCATTATCCAGATGATTTCCCTTCTCAGTAATTTCTTTGAACTTTTTTAGTATATGTTATGTTCTGAATTTTTGTTTTCAGTTTCTGAACCATATTTCTGTCTTTGAATGTATAATATGTTATGAATTTTTATTTTCAATTTTTGAATCACATTGCGGTATTTTGTTGAACGTACGTATGTGATTGGCGTTCTTGAATGAGTCGTTCTGAATCCAGAAAGGTTCATTCTAAAATCAAAACGGGCCGTTCTAGTTTCAGAATGACCCGTTCTGCTGCACTCGTTGTGTGTTAAATTTGCATTTGGAACGACCTGTTCCAAATACAAAATTAATACACAACATGTGCAACCAGAACGGGCCGTTCTGGTTCCAGGTGATTTCAAGAAATTTGGCATCTACATATGGATCTATGTGGCATCCACGTGGCCAACAGTTAACTTCATTTAAATAATTTGTACGGAAGTCCGACATTACAATAATTTAAATTATTAAGGACTAAATTGAAACAAAAAATTAAAGTAGGACTAAATTGAAACAAACAAATATTATAAGGGACTAAATTAGTATTTTAACCTAAATTAAATACACATGCAAAAAAAATGAAGGAAAAAACACTCTTGGAACTTTGAATATTAGGAGGAAAATACTGTCAACATCATAATTTAAAAGCATATTGTAAGAGTTTCTTATTTCGTACCCATATAAAATAACTACGCACCGGAAAGAAATGCGAATTTGTTTTTTTTTTTTCTTTTTGTTTTCTTATTTTAATATTTATTTTGTTATTTTGGTATTTAAACTTTAATTCACATGTGACGCTTACATTTTAAAAGTTTATTTATTTTTGAAATATACTTTTTATATAACTTATCAAGTCTATGAAAAGTATAAATTGGAGATGAAATAGTTATAAGAGTGTAAAGATATCAAAATAGTGGAGATAGAAAGAAAATTAAACAACCATTATGTCTTTTATATATAGTATAGTATATAGGAAAGAGGCATATTGTGTCTCTACATATTTGTTCAAAAAATAAAAATAGCAAAAATTATTAAAAAAAGATAATGATGGTGACTTTATTTAATGGGAGAAATCAATTATTACTAAAAGAGAGACTCTAGTTATAACAAATAGATAGGAAAAAAATAAAAATATTTTAAACAAATATAAATAAATAAGTTAAAGGGTAAATAAGTCTTAAAAAAGTCAAAACCAAAACATGGTATAACCTTAAAAATACTCTTGCTCAAGATAGAAGTTTGTATTAAATATATAGGAATTGATAAGATGATTTTTAGGGATTCTTTTAATCTCTTTCCTATTTTGATTTATATTTATCATAATTATTTTTAAATTAAATTTGAATGTTTTTTCATATTGATAATAAAAATAATCTTCATTTTATATATATATATATATGATATTTTAATTTGATTTTTACATTGTTTTGAACTTTTTTATCCTCTTGAAAGATAAAGTAAATAACTCATGTTTCGCATCAAATTTCAACGATGCAACCGTTGAATTTAAAGTTCCTAATTCATAGATCAAATCTGCAAATTTTTAGAAAATTTGAAAATCATTTGATAATTCATTTCATTAATTCAAAATAATGTATAAAATAATTTTATGATTATCCGTTAATTTGAATTAATGAAACGAAGTATCAAATGATTTTCAAATTTTTTAAAAATTTA